ACGGACGAAGTCCAGAGGTTCATTAAGCAACCTCTGGACCCGACAGCGTACAGACAGGCCCTGAACGGCATTCACAGGGACTCAGTCTCGAGTTATGTAGACTCTAGACCTGTGAATGCCGTTCTAGGCATACCACCCCCGGACATTGACGAGACAGAGCTTCATCTGCCTCGGGAGACACGCACTACACTTGCTCAACTTCGCTCCGGCTACTGCAGCAGGTTAAACTCCTACTTGAGTAGGCTGAATGAGGATGTGCCGAACGAATGTCCGGCATGCGGAGAGACCCCACATGACTCGAACCATCTCTTCGCATGCCCGGAAAACCCGACTACCCTAACGGCCCTGTGCCTGTGGACAGATCCCACAGAAGCTGCACGCTTCCTAGGGTTGCCGTTAGTGGAACTTGACGACAACGACTGAGATATCAACCGATCCGGGCGGGGTTGTTGTAGCCGCTACAACAACAACAACAACAACGGACCGTATCAAGTTTTTCACCCTGGGAATCCAATACTGCGATCGGATGAGTCGCAGCATGAGCTGGTTTTCTCCGTGCACGGAAATTGTATGGATAAACTGGACAAAGAGACGGGACAACCTACAACCGTACGGAAGAATGATAGGATGACGTTCATTGTAGGACAGGTCGCAAGATGCGCTCAGACGACCACCAGCCCTCAGAATCTCATCTTTGTCGATGAACGGGTTAAGAGGCAGGATTTCACTTTTTCCGTCGATGGATTTTCCAGATTTTAACCTTATATATTCTTCGCTGTAATATTGTTTTTGACAAATTGTTATGAAGCGTTGGGTCGTTGTTTTAATTTCGTTGGACGAAATTGAACGAGACTCCCCTTTAAAGGAAGATTTTGTTTTGGGATTGATTCTTTGATAGAATCTCATAATATAAGATATAACTCTTAAAGCCCCGGACAAATCAGAAAACCGATCGAGAATGTCGTGAGAGTCGTTTACTTTTGTTGTTGCATGAACTAGCACCCTTTTTCCTTCAATGGTTGTGTCATAGTCCGATTCTTGTGCTGGCCATCTCGGATAGTCTTCTTGTAACCAAGAAGGACCCTGCCACCACAAGGAGTTGTTGACTAGATCACTCGCCGAGAGTCCTCTGCTGGCTAGATCCCCTGGGTTTGATGCCGAATCCACGTGGCGCCAATTTTTGTTTCCTACCTTATCTACTAGCTTTGTTATCCTGTGGGCAACAAATGTTGACCACGAACACGGAGGTTTCCGAATCGAAGCTAAAACTATCGTTGAATCCGTCCACAAATTCACGTTCAAATGAGCAAGGCTAAGGTTTTCAACGACAGTTTCAATTGTTTCGGCCAGTAACACTGCACCACACATCTCCAATCGGGGCAAAGATATTGTTTTGACCGGCGCTACCCTTGTTTTTGCCATAAGTAGTTTGACGAAAACTTTATCCTCAGTCTGAACCCTTAGAAAAACTGTCGCCGCGTATGCCTTTTCCGCAGTATCGCTAAACCCATGTATTTCCACATTATCGGTTTGCGTTAAATATACCCATCTTGGTATGCGGATGTTGTTTAATTCCGCGTAATCATGCGTAAATGCTTGCCAACGATCCCAGGTATTTGGAGATACGGTTTGTTCCCAACCTGTTCCTTCTAACCAAATATTCTGCATAATGATCTTGGCGACGATTATAACCGGTGCAAGCCAACCCAGTGGATCGAACAGTTTGGCGATGGCTGAAAGTATCGCCCTTTTTGTAATAATGCTACTATTTTCAATTGGTTTCGCTATAAAGTAGAAGTAATCGGAATGGGCGTTCCATCTGATGCCCAAAGCCTTTAGTGCGCTGGTATCTTCAAACTCTAAGAAATCTTCACTAAGTAAATTACCTTTGGTAATCCTTGAAGTATTTTGCTAGAGTTTGAAGTCCATTTTCGTAATGGAAACCCGGCTGAATTTAGCACCTGTGATATCTCTTCTCGAGCTCTTATCGCAGCTTCGACGCTATATCCCCCGGCGAGTACGTCGTCAACATACATACATTTCCGCAAAATGTCAGATGCGATTGGATGAGAGCTCTCCACATCATCAGCAAGCTGGTGTAATGTCCTTATCGCAAGGTAAGGAGCACAGTTTATGCCAAAAGTCACGGTTTTTAATTCGTACAAACTGATCGGATCTTTTGGGCAACTACGAAAAACTATTCGCTGATA